ATGAAGTCAATGTACTACAATTTAGTTTGGGAACTTGTAGATCAACCAGATGAGGTAAAACCTATTGGTTGCAAATGGATCTATAAGAGGAAACGAGACCAAACCGGTAAGGTACAGACCTTTAAAGCTCGACTAGTAGCAAAGGGTTATACCCAAAGAGAGGGGGTGGACTATGAAGAAACCCTTTCTCCTGTTGCTATGCTTAAATCGATTAGAATACTCTTGTCTATTGCCACATTTTATGATTATGAAATTTGGCAAATAGATGTTAAGACAGCCTTTCTAAACGGAAATCTTGAAGAGAGTATCTATATGGCTCAACCAGAGGGGTTCATTGAACAGGATCACGAGCAAAAGGTTTGCAAGCTTAAAAGATCCATTTATGAGTTGAAGCAAGCATCTCGATCCAGGAATATAAAGTTTGATACTTCGATCAAATCTTATGGTTTTAAACAGAATGTTGACGAACCTTGTGTTTATAAAAGGATAGTCAACTCTACAGTAGCTTTTCTTGTGTTGTACGTTGACAATATTCTACTCATTGGGAATGATGTAGGATTTTTTACTGACATTAAGCATTGGCTAGCGACACAATTCCAAATGAAAGATTTGGGAGAGGCTTAGTTTGTTCTTGGAATCCAAATTTTTCGTAATCACAAGAACAAAACACTAGCATTGTCTCAAGCATCTTACATCGACAAAATGTTGATTCGATAAAAGATGCAGGACTCCAAGAAATGATTATTACCTTTCAGGCATAGAGTTCATTTTTCAAAAGAACAAAGTCCTAAGACACCTCAAGAAGTTGAGGATATGAGAACACATTCCCTATGCATCAGCAGTCGGTAGTCTGATGTATGCCATGCTATGTACCCGACCCGACATATGCTATGCTGTGGGAATTGTCAGCAGATATCAGTCCAATTCGGGACGTGTTCATTGGACTGCCATTAAGAATATCCTCAAGTATTTTAGGAGAACGAGGGACTATATGCTAATGTACGGTGCTAAGGCTTTGATCCTTACAGGGTACACTGACACAAATTTTCAAACCGATGTAGATTCGACGAAATCGATATCAGGATCTGTCTTCACTCTGAACGAAGGAGCAATAATATGGAGAAGCATACAACAAGGTTGCATTGCTGATTCCACCATGGAGGCTGAGTATGTTGCTACTTGTGAAGTAGTGAAAGAAGCTGTATGGCTTAGGAAGTTCTTAACTGATTTGAAAGTCGTTCCAGATATGCATCTTCCCGTCACTCTTTATTGTGATAACAGTGGAGCAGTTGCAAATTCAAAAGAACCAAGAAGCCATAAGCGAGGAAAACATATTGAATGCAAATATCATCTCATAAGGGAGATTGTGCAACGAGGAGATGTGATTGTCACACAGATAGCTTCAGAGCACAATATTGTTGATTCATTTACAAAGCCCCTTACAACTAAAGTGTTTGAAGGGCACCTAATGAGTCTAGGACTACGAGTTATGTAATCTAGGGCAAGTGAGAGAAAAGGCATGAGTATGTAATGCCCTAGTTTATTGTATCTTTTTCTCTACTCAATGTTATAAAATCCCCACTAGAGTTTTAGTCCAAGTGGGAGTTCGTTAGGTTTTATGTTCTAAAACTCATAGTTTGTAAGAAAAAAACATTCCTAAGGACTCATTGGGCTCATGAATAAAGTGAACTTTACGATCATTAATCTAAATCCAATAAACTAAGAACATTCTGACTATAGTATGATTACTTGAACTATATGTAGAGACATAAGAGTTGATCAAGTTCAAGTATATAGTCAAAATGATCTATAGTATAAGGATAAGGCTGAGTACCTTATTCTGGGGACACAATGGATGTGGCGCACTTTTGTATATGATATAAACAATGTGATCACTAAAATTGTACATGTGGAGACATGTGAGTGGGGGCGTCCTATGTAATGAGTATTGCATAAGATCGGACCATATAGAAAATCACTCTCACTTAACAATGTCGTTTACTGTTGAGACTAATTTTCTTTTCATTCGATGACCTAGGTAACTCAATCTTAATCCTGAGCTAACCATGAACTCCTATTTATTCGGAATTATCCTTAGATTTTCAAGGGTGAGAGTGACTCAAGTTCGCCGACTCAATAGGTCTCTCATTTCAGGGGTAAGACTGGGTAAATGGCTGGGGACGTGGGGTGCAAGATGAAATTCACTCATACCCACTTTTAAGGATAGAAGAGAGGTAGTTCCCTTAAGTATTGACTCCAGTCTTGAACAAGAGCCCCACCCTCTCATTGGCCTGAGAGGGATCCGGTTTACTGGTTGAACCATAACCCAATTGTTCATTAGAGGATTAGTGAGACATAAGAAACAAGAAGTAACTTCAGGGGTAAAATGGTAAATTGACCCAGCTCAAGTTACGAACAACCTGTGAAGGATCGACTTACTAATCATGGTTATATCAAATGGATAGAAATATATCTATAGTGAGAGGAGTGAAACTACTAGGCTATAGTGGAATGTTCTAGCAGTTAACGAATGTTGGTTAACAAGGTTAATGAGTTTAACCGGTTAATCTTGGATCGTTGGAGCCCATGACCTATTGATCCATTAGGTTCCTCTGTTAGCTCATAAACCATAGAACAGTGTGATGAGTGAGTTTGAAGTGTTCGAATTCAAATTTGGGAGAATGCGCTACATATATACGATATATTTAACCGCATTTTTGTTTTATTTACGAATTAAACAAAAAGAGAGAATCAAAGATATTTAAATAAGATTAAATATCTTAATCAAAATTGTGTTAGAATTAATTAGGATTGTCATTTGAATTAATATTAAATATTAATTAAATAGTTTAATTAATCATTTAATATTACTTTAATTTGAAATTAATAATTCAAATTGATTGTTGAATCATCAAGAAAGTCAACCTGTTGACTTCATTTAATGGAAAGTCAACCCGTGTTCTGTTTGCAATTGAATGCGTATCTGCTGTAACTCAAGCATGCATTCTTGCCAAATAAACCCCACAAATTTGAGTGGAATTTTGAGTGTCAAAATTTGGTGATCTTAAATTTGCATGAACATGCAAACATGACTCTATAAATAGAGTGATCATAATACGTGAAAGGTCTACTTGTTGGTGAAAAACATGGAGAAAAACCAATCACAAACACTCTCTTCTTATATACAAAATCCCTCCCAAGTTTAGTCACTCACCGGATTCCACAATCCCGTTCTAAGGCCAGAGGATAGTGGAGAAGACACTAGTGGTGGTTCGAAACCAGTTCGTGAGGAAAAAGGAATTTGAACTACAAAAGGTTAGTATTCAAACTCATTAAGTTTTAATACTTATGAACATGCTAGTTATTTACTATAATTGATGTTCTAAAGTGCCTAAGATCCAAATTGCTTCCGCATGTGTTATATTAACACCTTCCATTGGTATCAGAGCAAGTTGTAGGCACTTTATTTACGTTAATTTGATCATGGTGGGTACCTTTTCATGAATGAAATTTTGTGGTTGCTAAAGTGGATGGTTTTGGTTTTGGCATTTTTTTTATGCTTCCATTTGATTCAATTATTGTAATAAGCCTAATGTGTATGGGCTTTAATGAATGAAGAAAAGTCTGTAATTTTTTTAGAGTCATTAGAGTCCATTTTAGATTGTAATTGATCGAAAATGGAAGCGATAGCAAGTTGAACCGAAGAAGATGGAAGAGGCAGTCCGGGTGTTTTTTCTGCCTTTGGAATCCGGTTCAACGTTTTTAAGGGTTGGTTAGCCCAGTTCGTGATCCTCGGGAGCAGTTCAAGTTGTTTTGAATTATTAATGTAATAATTTAGTTAATTGCTTGTTTTAAAATGTCAAAACCAATCCAATTTAGCGTGTTTAATTAATTATGCATTATGAATGTATGTTTTAATTAAATAGAAAATGTATATGCATACAATATGTCATGTAGATTTAAAATCCCACCATAGGCTAAACATGTTTCATGCATTCCAAGTATGTTATAAGTGTTATAATGTATAGTATGCATGTTTAGGGTTTCATAAGTGATAGATATAAATTGTTATATTATTGCATGGAATGGATTATTATATAATTGTTATATTATTGCATGGAATGGATTATTATATAATTGTTATATAAAGCATGTTAGATGCATGTTATAGGTTATTTTCAACGTCATAAAATGAGATAGTCGTTAAAATCTATAATAAAGATAAGTGCATGCTCACTTAGGGTTAAGAACCGAGCACGATCAATTTTAATAGTTAAAATAGGTCGATGTCTTACAAAATTGCCGTTACGAGAAAGCTCACCTGGCACGATCTTGTCTAAGGTTGGAGGTACTTAAGTTGACGGTTTACGGAACACCTACTATCTGGAGATTGGACCAGTACTTGAGCTTAGTTAGCCTAGTTTTATGAGCATGCTTAAGTGATATAAGTTTTAGAAAAATCACCTAGACTTAAGTTATATTTAATTAGCCAGAATATATCTAAGTAATAAGTATACCCAACCGTCTAAAATACTTAATTGGAGGAAAAAGATATATGAGATACATCGTTTTCCTTTTACGCTCTCTGAAAAATTCACACCGTGAGATTTATGCTCGGCCTTGCGTCTCCTTGGGAGCGTCCTCCATTCGGAAGGTATTTGCATGAGTCAATAACAAGGTGAATAGAGAAAGTATTTATAGTAAGTGGGAGAAGAAAGTATATCAACACGTCCTATGGTCTCCACCACTAGGTTGCACCGTGAGATTCCAATGTTCCACCTGCATGTTGCCCTAGAGCAACTACCCATGCGGAGGGTCGTAACATGGGAGTCGAAACAACGCAAACTCCAGAAATGGATAGGATTTCTTAGGCCCGTTCCCAACTTTGGCTTTTTCATTTGATAGCATTGTTGGGACCAATCTCTGAGGTCTGAAAATGGCGAGTCACACTTACGAAGAATTACTAAGAGTCAAGAATGTCTTGGTTTAGTGAATGAGTGATTGACTGCCCCTCGGTAGCAGTTGCTCTAACTCACTAAAGTATAGTTGCAAATTAATAATTTTTTGGTACATTATTACATTTGCTAAAACTGATTGGATTAAATAGGATTAAGTCAAATCACCAATAGAATTTTCTTTGTATCACACAGCAGTACAATTACTTGCTTCTGAGAAATTAAACAGCGACAATTACGCAACTTGGAAATCAAACCTAAACATAATACTGGTAATTGATAATTTAAGGTTTGTTTTAACTAAGGAATGTCCTCCAAACCCCAGCTCAAATGCAAACCGAACAGTTCGGGATGCGTATGACAGATGGATAAAGGCAAATGACAAAGTCTGAGTGTACATTCTAGCCAGCATATCTGATGTTTTGGCTAAGAAACACGATGTTATGGGTATTGCTAAAGAGATTATGGAATCTCTAAAAGGGATGTTTGGACAACCGTCCTTCCCCCTTAGACATGAAGCCATAAAATACATTTACAACTGCCGTATGAAAGAAGGGACCTCAGTTAGAGAACATGTCCTGGACATTTTAATGTGGCAGAAGAAAATGAAGCTGTCATTGATGAGAAGAGTCAAGTCAGTTTTATCATGATGTCTCTTTTGAAGAGCTTCTTCCAATCCCACACAAATGTGGTAATAAACAAAATAGAATATAACTTGACTGCTCTTCTCAATGAGCTATAGACTTATCAATCCCTCTTAACGAACAAGGAACAAACAGGAGAAGCAAATGTTGCTATCTCCAAGAAATTACTACGAGGATCGTCCTCCAAAAATAAGTCTAGACCTTCAACTTCTAAAAGTGTTTTGATAAAGAAGAAGGGTAAAGGGAAAGATAAGATTCCTACTAACTGTAAACACAAGGTTCAAAAAGCAGGTAAAAGAAAATGTTTCCATTGCAACTAAAACGAGCACTGGAAGAGAAACTGCCCAAAATACCTTGCTGAGAAGAAAGCTAATAAGACACAACAAGGTAAATATGATTTACTTGTTGTAGAAATATGTTTAGTAGAGTATGACAACTCAACTTGGATACTAGATTCAAGGACGACTAATCATATTTGTTCTGTTTACCAGGAAACTAGCTCCTGGAGAATGCTGGCGGACGAAGAGATAACACTCAGGGTTGGAACAGGAGAGGTTGTCTCAGCAAGATCAGTAGGAAATTTGAAGTTGTTTTTCGGAGATAGATTCGTTATATTAGATAATGTACTTTTTGTTCCTGAAATGAAAACAAATCTAATATCTATCTCTTGTTTATTAGTACAATTGTATAAAGTATCTTTTGAAATCAATGAAGTGTTTATTTTTCAAAGAGATTCATATTTGTTCTGCAAAACTAGAAAACAACTTATATATGTTAAAACCGAGCGAAACAAAAACTATTTTAAATACCGAGATGTTTAAAACAACTGAAACTCAAAATAAACGAAAAAAAGATTTCTCCTAATATCTATCTTTGGCACTTAAGTCTATGCCACATTAATCTCAATAGGATTAGGAGATTGGTTAAAAGAGCACTTCTAAATGAGTTAGACGACAACTCTTTACCTCCATGTCAGTCCTGTCTTGAGGGTAAAATAACTAAACGACCATTTTTCGAAAAAGGTTATAGAGCCAAAGAAACCTTAGAACTCGTGCATACAGATCTCTATGGTCCAATGAATGTCAAAGCACGAGGAGGGTATGAATATTTCATCAGTTTTATTGATGATTATTCAAGGTATGGCTATCTTTACCTAACGCGTCACAAGTTCGAAGCTCTTGAAAAATTCAGAGAGTATAAGACTGAGGTTGAGAATCTATTAGGTAAAACTATTAAAGCACTTCGATCAGATCGAAGAGGAGAATACATGGACTTAAGATATCAGGACTATATGATACAACATGGTATAAGGTCTCAACTCTCAGGCCCTGGTATGCCTCAACAAAATGGTGTATCAGAAAGAAGAAATAGAACTTTGTTAGACATGGTTCAGTCTATGATGAGTTTCGCTCAATTACCCGATCCATTTTGGGGATATGCAGTGGAGACTGCTACATACATTTTGAACATGGTTCCTACTAATAGTGCTTCAGAATTACCTTATGAGTTATGGAAAGGGCGTAAAGGTAGCTTACGTCACTTCAGAATTTGGGGATGTCCAGCACATGTGTTGTTGCAAAACCCTAAGAAATTAGAATGTCGTTCAAAATTATGTCTATTCGTAGGATACCCCAAAGAGACGAAAGGTGGTTTGTTTTATGACCCTCAAGAAAATAGAGTGTTTGTATCAACAAACGCTACATTCTTAGAGGAAGACCACGTAAGAAATCATCAACCTCGCAGCAAACTAGTATTAAGTGAGATTTCTAAAGAAGCTACTGATAAAACAACAAGAGTTGTTGATCAAGTTGGTCCTTCAACAAGAGTTGTTGATCAAGCTGGTCCTTCAACAAGAGTTGTTGATGGAGCTGACACTTCTGGTCAATCACATCCTTCTCAAAAGTTGAGAATGCCTTGACGTAGTGGGAGGGTTATAACTCAACCCGATCATTACTTGGATATGGCAGAAACTCAAGTCATCATACCTGATGATGGTATTGAGGATCCATTGACCTATAAACAGGCAATGAATGATAAAGATAGAGATCAGTGGATTAAAGCCATGAATCTTGAAATGGAGTCAATGTACTACAATTCAGTTTGGGAACTTGTAGATCAACCAGATGGGGTAAAACCTATTGGTTGCAAATGGATCTATAAGAGGAAACGAGACCAAACCGGCAAGGTACAGACCTTTAAAGCTCGACTAGTAGCAAAGGGTTATACCCAAAGAGAGGGGGTGGACTATGAAGAAACCTTTTCTCCTGTTGCTATGCTTAAATCGATTAGAATACTCTTGTCTATTGCCACATTTTATGATAATGAAATTTGGCAAATAGATGTTAAGACAGCCTTTCTAAACGGCAATCTTGAAGAGAGTATCTATATGACTCAACCAGAGGGGTTCATTGAACAGGATCACGAGCAAAAGGTTTGCAAGCTTAAAAGATCCACTTATGAGTTTAAGCAAGCATCTCGATCCTGGAATATAAAGTTTGATACTTCGATCAAATCTTATGGTTTTAAACAGAATGTTGACGAACCTTGTGTTTATAAAAGGATAGTAAGCTCTACAGTAGCTTTCCTAGTATTGTACGTTGACGATATCTTACTCATTGGAAATGATGTGGGATTTCTGACTGACATTAAGCATTGGCTAGCGACACAATTCCAAATGAAAGATTTGGGAGAGGCTCAGTTTGTTCTTGGAATCCAAATTGTTCAGAATCGCAAGAACAAATCACTAGAATTGTCTCAGGCATCGTACATCGACAAAATGTTGATTCAATATAAGATGCAAGACTCCAAGAAAGAATTATTACCTTTCAGGCATGAAGTTTATTTGTCGAAGGAACAAAGTCCTAAGACACCTCAAGAAGTTGAGGATATTAGACACATTCCCTATGCATCAGCGGTCGGTAGTCTGATGTATGCCATGCTGTGTACCCGTTCGACATATGCTATGCTGTGGGAATTATCAGCAGATATCAGTCCAATTTGGGACGTGCTCATTGGACTGCCGTTAAGAATATCCTCAAGTATCTTTGGAGAATGAGGGACTATATGCTAATGCACGGTGCTAAGGATCTGGTCCTTACATGGTACATTGACTTAGATTTTCAAACCGATGTAGATTCGACGAAATCGACATCAGGATCTGTCTTCACTCTGAACGAAGGAGCAATAATATGGAGAAGCATACAGCAAGGTTGCATTGCTGATTCCACCATGGAGGCTGAGTATGTTGCTACTTGTGAAGTAGTGAAAGAAGTTGTATGGCTTAGGAAGTTCTTAACTGATTTGAAAGTCGTTCCAGATATGCATCTTCCCGTCACTCTTTATTGTGATAACAGTGGAGCAGTTGCAAATTCAAAAGAACCAAGAAGCCATAAGCGAGGAAAACATATTGAGCGCAAATATCATCTCATAAGGGAGATTGTGCAACAAGAAGATGTGATCGTCACACAGATAGCTTCAGAGCACAACATTGCTGATTCATTTACAAAGCCCCTCACGGCTAAAGTGTTTGAAGGGCACCTAGTGAGTCTAGGACTACGAGTTATGTAATCTAGGGCAAGTGGGAGAAAATGCATGAGTATGTGATGACCTAGTTTATTGTATTTATGTCTTTCTCTTTACTCAATGTTATAAAACCCCACTAGAGTTTTAGTCCAAGTGGGAGTTTGTTGGGTTTTATGTCCTAAAACTCATAGTTTGTAAACAAAAACATATTCTATTTTCAATAAAGTTATTACTATTGTTTATTCAATAAAGATTATTGTTGAATAAAGTGAACTTTACGATCATTAATCTAAATTCAATAAACTAATAACACTCTGGTTACTTGAACTATATGTAGAGACATAAAAGTTGATCAAGTTCAAGTATATAGTCAAAATGATCTATAGTATAAGGATAAGGCTGAGTACCTTATTCTGGGGACACTATGGATGCGACTCACTTTTGTATATGATATAAACAATGTGAACACTAAAATTGTACATGTGGAGACATGTGAGTGGGGGCGTCCTATGCAATGAGTATTGCATAAGATCGGATCGTGAAGAAAATCACTCTCACTTTATAATGTCGTTTACTACTGAGACTGATTTTCTTTTCATTCGATGACCTAGGCAGATGCATGCTTGGAACAACTTCCAAATCAGTTAAGAACTTCCTAAGTCATACAGATTCTTTCGCCGCTTCACAAGCAGCAACATACTCAGCCTCCATGTTGGAATCAACAATGCAACCTTGCTTTATACTTCTCCATATTATTGCTCCTCCATTCAAAGTGAAGACGGATCCTGATGTTGATTTCCTCGAATCTATATCGGTCTGAAAATCTAAGTCAATGTACCCTGTAAAGATTAAAGCTTTAGCACCGTACATTAGCATATAGTCTCTTGTTCTCCTAAGATACTTGATGATATTCTTAACGGCAGTCCAATGAGCACATCTCGGATTGGACTGATATCTGCTGACAATTCCCACAGCATAACATATGTCGGGTTGGGTACATAGCATGGCAAACATCAGACTACCGACTGCTGATGCATAGGGAATGTGTCTCATATCATCAACTTCTTGAGGTGTCTCAGGACTTTTTTCCTTCGACAAATGAACTCCATGTCTGAAAGGTAATAATCCTTTCTTGAAGTTCTGCATCTTATATCGAATCAACATTTTGTCGATGTACGATGCCTGAGACAATGCTAGTGTTTTGTTCTTGCGATTTCGAACAATTTGGATTCCAAGAACAAACTGAGCCTCTCCCAAATATTTTATTTGGAATTGTGTCGCTAGCCAATGGTTAATGTCAGTTAGAAATCCCACATCATTCCCAATGAGTAGGATATCGTCAACGTACAACACCAGGAAAGCTACTGTAGAGTTGACTATCTTTTTATAAACACAAGGTTCGTCAACATTCTATTTAAAGCCATAAGATTTGATTGCAGGTTCGTCAACATTCTATTTAAAGCCATAAGATTTGATTGCAGTATCAAACTTTATATTCCAGGATGAGATGCTTGCTTCAACCCATAAATAGATCTTTTAAGCTTGCAAACCCTTTGCTTGTGATCCTGTTCAATGAACCCCTCTGGTTGAGCCATATAGATACTCTCTTCAAGATTGCCATTTAGAAAGGCTGTCTTAACATCCATTTGCCAAATTTCATAATCATAAAATTGACAATGGACAAGAGTATTCTAATCGATTTAAGCATAGCAACAGGAGAGAAGGTTTCTTCATAGTCCACCCCCTCTCTTTGGGTATAACCCTGTACTACAAGTCGAGCTTTAAAGGTCTGTACCTTACTGGTTTGGTCTCGTTTCCTCTTATAGATCCATTTGCAACCAATAGGTTTTACCCCATCTGGTTGATCTACAAGTTCCTAGACTAAATTGAAGTACATTGACTCCAATTCAAGATTCATGGCTTTGATTCACTAATCTCTATCTTCATCATTCATTGCCTGTTTATAGGTCAATGGATCTTCAACGCCATCATCAAGTATGGTGACTTGAGTTTCTGTCAAACTTAAGTAACGATCGGGTTGAGTTATAACCCTCCCACTACGTCGAGACATTCTCAACTCTTGAGAAGGATGTGATTGACCAGAAGTGTCATGATATGGAAAATCAACCCAAGGGAAAGTATGGAACGAATTACCTTGATGATCAAGATCAAGAGTAAAGAAAACTCGTTTCTAAACTCGTGATTCGAATCACTCCACAAGAGGTTTGATCAATACCACTTGAATGACTCTACATGCAAGTTCTAAACACAAGAATTTGCAAAGAAAGTTTAGCTCTCAACAAAGCTAAAATAGAAATTTTATTCTTAATTCCAAAATCTGATGTCTAATCAAAGAAAAGAAGGCTTTATATAGCCCTTACAACCTTAACCTATGAGATATATAACTCTCAAATTAAATGGGCTAGTAAATGAAAAATACCCATAACCTCCATATTAAAATGGCTAGTTAATGGTGGAATATAGTAACCTATGTGGGTTACAATATAACCTTAACTTCTATATTTAAAACTAGCTTAAATATGACAAACAAATTGTTAAACTATAATTAAATAATGCAATTAATAAAATGTGCTTGTTGACTCATCCTTGGACTAGTTTCATAAATTCAGCGGAGTTCATTAAATGCAACTTAAAGTGCATTTTAATTCATCTCTTTCTTGAAGCTCAACTTTGCATAACATATAAGGGAGGTCTCCAGCGTCTTCTAGAATTTCCTTTGATGAGCTCACCATAACTTGAATATAACTGTATAAGGTTTGTTGTAGCTTCTTAGCTCTCGTCCTTGTAATTGGACCTTGAGGTATGGAAATTCCTTGGTCGTGGTTCATATCATTCTCCCACTCTTAAGAAAGATTCGTCCTCAAATCAAAGCCATCACCTACATCAAAAGGACTCAAATCAACAACATTAAAAGTTGTACTAACACCGTACTTACCTGGTAAATCAATTTTATAAGCATTGTCGTTGATACGCTCAAGAACTCTTGTTGAAGGACCAGCTTGATCAACAACTCTTATTGTTTTATCAGTAGCTTCTTTAGAAGTCTCACTTAATACTAGTTTGCTGCGAGGTTGATGATTTCTTACATGGTCTTCCTCTAAGAATGTAGCGTTTGTTGATACAAACACTCTATTTTCTTGAGTGTCATAAAACAAACCACCTTTCGTCTCTTTGGGGTATCCTACGAATAGACATAATTTTGAACGACATTCTAATTCTTAGGGTTTTGCAACAACACATGTGCTGGACATCCCCAAATCCTGAAGTGACATAAACTACCTTTATGCCATTTCCATAATTCATAAAGTTTTTCTGAAACACTCTTAGAAGGAACCATGTTCAAAATAAATGTAGTAGTCTCCACTGCATATCCCCAAAACGAATCGGGTAATTGAACAAAACTCATCATAGACCGAACCATGTCTAACAGAGTTCTATTTCTCCTTTCTGATACACCATTTCTATAAGGCATACGAAGGGCTGAGAGTTGAGACCTTATTCCATGTTCTATCATATAGTCCTGAAATTTTAAGTCCATATACTCTCCTCCTCGATCTGATCAAAGTGTTTTAATAGTTTTACCTAATAGATTCTCAACCTTAGTCTTATACTCTGAATTTTTCAAGATCTTCGGACTTGTGATACATTAGGTAAAGATAGTCATACCTTGAATAATCATCAATAAAACTGAGGAAATATTCATACCCTCCTCGTGCTTTGGCATTCATTGGACCATAGAGATCTATATGCACGAGTTCTAAGGTTTCTTTGGATCTATAACCTTTTTTGGAAAACGGTCGTTTAGTCATTTTACCCTCAAGACAAGACTCACATGGAGGTAAAGAGTTGTCTTCTAACTCATTTAGAAGTCATCTTTTAACCAATCTCTCAATCCTATTGAGATTAATGTGGCCTAGTCTTAAGTGCCAAAGATAGGTATTAAGAGAAATATTTTGTCGTTTATTTTGAGTTTCAGCTGTTTTAAATATCTTGGTATTTAAAATAGCTTTTGTTTCACTCAGTTTTAACATATATAAGTTGTTTTCTAGTTTTGCAGAACAAATATGAATATCTCTTTTACAAATTAATACTTCATTGATTTGAAAAGATACTTTATACAATTGTTCTAATAAACAAGAGATAGATATTAGATTTATTTTCACTCTAGGAACAAAAAGTACATTATCTAATATATTGAATCTATCTCAAAAAAAATAATTTTAAATTTCCTACTGATCTTGCTGAGACAACCTCTCATGTTCCAACCCTGAGTGTTATCTCGTCGTTCGTAAGCATTATCCAGGAGCTAGTTTCCTGGAAAAAAGAACAAATAGATTAGTGGCCCCTGAATCTAGTATCCAAGTTGAGTTATCATACTCTACTAAACATATTTCTACAAAGAGTAAATCATATTTACCTGGTTGTGTCTTTTCAGCTTTTTCTCTGCAAGGTATTTTGGGCAATTTCTCTTTCAGTGCCCGTTTTCATTACAATGGAAATATTTTCATTTATCTGCTTTTTAAACCTTGTGTTTACCGTTAGTAGGAATCTTATTTTTCCCTTTACTCTTCTTCTTCATCAAAACACTTTTAGAAGTTGAAGGTCTAGACTTATTTTTGGAGGACAATCCTCGTTGTAATTTCTTAGAGATAGCAACATTTGCTTCTCTTGTTTGTTCCTTGTTCATTAAGAGGGACTGATAAGTCCTTAGCTCATTGAGAAGAGCAGTCAAGTTATATTCTATCTTGTTCATTATCACATTTGTGCGGAACTAGAAGAAGCTCTTCGAAAGAGACTCCATGATAAAACTGACTTGACTCTTCTCATCAATAACAGCTTCATTTTCTTCTGCCACATTGAAATGGACCATCATGTCCAGGACATGTTCTCTAACTAAGGTCCCTTCTTTCATACGACAGTTGTAAATGTATTTTATGGCGTCATGCTAAGGGAGAAGGACAATTGTCCAAACATCCCTTTTAGAGATTTCATAATCTCTTTAACAGTACCCATAAACCCAAGGCTCCTGTCTTTTTTTTTTTTTTTTAACGATGCGAGGGACTAAGGGACCCAAGGGCCTCCCCTTTACCTTCACAACCTTTTGATTTGCAGCAAGTGTCCTTCGCCTCAGGACCTACACCCAAGGCTCCTGTCTCTGACATCAGGGGCTCCTCGAGTAGGGACCTTCTTCTTTGGATACAACTCCAGAGAGTTGCGATGACGTGGGATTCTTCCAACCCCTTAATATTAGAGGAAAAACAGAGCCTAAGGAACCTTGCCCGAAAGGGGCCCTCCTGTTTCATACTGACTAGAAGTTTATCGCGATCATCACGATCGGGATATTGTGACATTTCTGAAAGACTCAACCATACTTCGAGTCCAATTTTCACTCTTGTCCATCCAATACCTTTGAGTCCAATTTGCACTCTTCCTCGGTTGTGCCAAACATTCCTGAGGACTCACTGGGCTCATGAAATTCATCAACTATCCAAAGGTCATAATAGCCATTCTCTCCGATAAAGTCATTCTAGCACGAGCTTACGAAATAAATATTTAACACCTTCTGTAACATTTGAAAAAAGAAGGTTTTCTGGGTACTAGGGGCCCCATAGACGAATATCTGCTTTAGGGGTTGAAACAAGCACTGCAAGCATGGAATACTCGTATCGATACATACTTCAAAGAGAATGGGTACAAGCAATGTCCCCCATGAGCATGCACTTTATACGAAGAAAAGTGGAGGTAATGTGATACTTATTGCTCTTTATGTCGATGATCTCATCTTTTCAGGCAACAATGATGAAATGAAAGAAGAGTTCAAAAGCACAATGACACAAGAATTTGAGATGACAGACTTGGGCTTGTTGAAGTTTTTCCTTGGTTTGGAGGTTAAACAAAGAGAGGCGGGTATCTTTATATCACAGGAGAAATATG